AGAGAAATATCAATCAGCTGCCTCCCACACACCCCCTACTGAGGATGGAGCCCGCAACCAAGGTACATGCCCTTGACCAGAACTGAACCTGGGACCCTTGAGCTCTATCCAAACTGGTCAGGGCTTGGTGCATAAACTTTTAAGATTATTGTGTCATTTTAATACCCTTTTGTGAAATAACTAGTAATATTCTTTGTCCTGAAATCTCTTTTGTCTGTTATTTATATAGACACTTTACTTTTATTTGTCCATGTGGCAAACTCTGCCTTTCAATCAGGGGTATTTAGGTTATTTTCATTTGATGTGATTATTGATATGATTAAGTTTAAATATATCATCATCCTGCTATTTGTTTCCTATTTGGCCTAGTTCCTTTTTCACTGCTTTTTCTGTCTCCATTTATAACAATTAAAAATTTTAATTGCATTTTATCTTATTTGCTGGATTAGCTTTAACATTTTATTTTATTATATTAGTGGTTGCTTTAGGGTTTTAGTAAACAATTTTAACTTTTCATGGACTATCTTCAAATTATATATCATCTTATGTATCATAAAATAAACTTAAAACAGTACACTTACATTTATTCCCCCCAGTTCTTTGTGCTATTATTGATATACATGTTGCTTTTACATATGTGATAAACCTAACACTATACTATTTTTTTGTTGTTGTTAATCTTCACCCGAGAATATTTTTTCATTGATTTTTAGGTAGATTGTAAGAGAGAGGAAAAGACAGAGAGAAACATCAGTGTGAGAGAAATACATCGAATGTTTGCCTCCTGCAGGGGTCCCTACCCTGGTCTGGGCCAGGGAGGAGCCTGCAATCAAGGTATGTGCCCTTGACTGAAATTGAACCTGGTACCCTTTGGTCCTCAGGCCCATGCTCCACCCACTGAGCCAAACCGGGTAGGGCACTATTACTTATTTTTATTTAATCAGGCAGTTACATTCTAAACAGATTTAAATAATAAGAAAAATTTATATATTTGTTCATATACTTACCATTTCAGTAATCTCCATTCTTTTTGGTAAATCTTTATTTCCAGAGAATATTACTTTTCTTTTGCCTTATTGCCTTTAACGAGTCTTCTCATGTGAGTCTATTGGTACCTCATTATTTAAGCTTTTTAATATCTTAAAGGTCTTAGCCCTCATTCTTGAGGAATATTTTCACTGGATTCAGAATACTAGGTTGACAGATTTTTCTTTCAATACTTTAATGATATTGTTCGCGTTGCTTCTTTTAAGAAATCTGCTGCCATCCTTACCTTTTTCTCTGTACATATTGTACAATTTTCCTCTGGCTACTTTTAAGAGATTGTTTTCATAATCGAGTTTCAGCCCTTTAATTTCATGTACTTTTCTTCTTGTTTCTTGTACTTGGGGCTCAGCGGACTTCTTATATCTGTGGATTTATACTGTTCATAAATTTGAAGAAGTTTCGGCCATTATTTATTCAGATAGTTTTCAGTCCCCTCGTCCTTTTCAGGCATCCCAATTACACATATATTAGATGGCTCGAAGTTGTCTGTCCTCTCACTGATGTTCTGTTCATTTTTTAAATTCTATTTTCCCAGTGTGTTTTATTTTGAGTAGTTTCTATGACTATACAGTCAAGTTCTTTAATCTTTTCATCTGCAATGTCAAATCTGTTCATCCCATCCACTGTATTTTTCATTTGCATAATGTACATTTGAATTGAGGGTTTATTTTCCATCTATTCCCCCATTGAAGGAGCCTTCTGGGAACATATCCTCTGGCCTCTTTGAAGCTGTCAGGTGTCTGCAGCCCCGCCCAACATCTTGACTGTCACTTCATAAAAGATCCTGTGCTAAACCCACTCAGCTAAGCCATTCCAAAATTCCTGACCTACAGAAATCCTATAGGAGAATAAATGTTTGTTATTATTTCAAGTTCTAAGTTATGGGGTAATTTACAATATAGCAATAGCTGACTAATAAACACAGAATCTGACCATGGGGCTTTCTAGTTTTCACATCTCTTCACCACCCCCAAGGGGAAGCAGCCTTGGTTCCCCACTGCTGGGTTTAATCAAAAGAGGGGAGCAAGGCTAGCCAGGAGCTGCTCCCCCTGCCTATAGTGTTTCTGGAGTTTGCACTTAATACGCCATAGAAATTATGGATTTTTAGTAAAACTGCTAACTGGGCCCTAATATAAGAAATATTCTGTCTCCTAAAGGCCCTCTGCTGGGCAGCCTTACCCATTTCCCCGGGGCTGTTCTCTCTGAGCAAATGAGATTCTGGAGGTTGTGGCTCCACCTGCCGCCCACGGACCCCTCAGGCTGGCGTGGACACGAAGGTGGGGAGCCAGGAGCTATGGTCAGACAGCAGCAGGCCTGGGAGTGGATTCCCGCTGAATGCAAACAGAATCACACACCCTTCATCCATTAGTCACTTACACCAACGGGCTGCATTGGTGTGGAACTGGAAACTCATTAGGTAATTGCAGCCTCTCAGGACACGTGCAGCCTGAGTAAGGTGCAAAATAGAGCACATGTGCCCAAGCTCGGTCAGACACAAGGGATAGGAAAGGGCCTCACCTTTGAGAAGCTGCAGTTTGCCTGAGTCTGCACATTCCCTCCTGGTGCCCAGGTGCCCATCTGTTAGGTGCTATGCACCGTGTGCCCTGCCTCTTGCCAAGCACTGCAGTAAGGGGGCCACCTGGCCCCTCCAAAGTGCTAACACTCACTTTGTGCTTTTCACAGAAACCCCACATCCTTCTGGTTGAGGGCACTTTCTGAGGGGCTTAAGGTGGGCTGTCCTTGTCCTTAAGACCTGGGCGAGTCCAGGTGCACAGAAGCTCAGACTCAGCTCTCCAAGGCCTCTGGGCAAATACCCAATCACCCAGTTCTCACCACCACCTCACAATGCGGATCCTTTTATACATGAGGAGGTGGGTGCTGAGTAGGCTCCTGGGGAAGGCAACTTCCTTTGGTTACTTTCTCTAAGTGCAAACTCTCTTACTTTGCTCAGACCTGCAGAAGGAGAAACCCAGGATGGTATATCAGTGGTATGCTTGCCAGCCAGTTGTTAAACACTTCCCTTATTAGAAATTAAATCCTACAGCTTATAATTAAATAAATCATATTAAAAATAAAGGTCCAGCCCTGGCCAGTGTGGCTCAGTGGTTGTGCATCATTCCATGCACTGAAAGGTTGCTGGTTCAATTACCAGTCAGGGCGCATACCCAGGTTTAGGCTCAGTCTCCAGTGGGGGGCAGGCAAGAGGCAGTCAATTGATGTTTTGCTCACAAATTGATCTTTATCTCCCTCTCCCTTCCTCTACCTCTGAAAAACAATAAAAATAATAAAATAAAATAAAACAAATAGGTTTAAATACTCAAAATGTATCACTCTCTGGTAATGCTGGATGTTAGGCAACATTTAACGCCATTGGGTCCTGATCGGGCATCTAGAAGGCTCTGGAATCTGGTGAAGGGGCTTTGGGTATATTAAATAAGCGTCCAGAGATGAAAGATAATTTTAAAAGACATTGGGGGTCAAAGGAGCTTTAGCTAAAGGAGCTAAGTTCTCTTTGTCTCAGGACCCCTTGCTTTTTATTAACACAAATTGTCCTAAAACAAGGTGGAGATATACACTTTAAAGGCCAGGGTTTTGTACAGAAGCCATTATCAGGGGAATAGCCTACAGCTGATCAGGTATTTGGCCAGTAGGAGGCAATAACGTGTAAATTAAGATGCCCTGAGCTGTCTGGCAGCAAACAATCATCCTATTCGGATTTGGGGAAAATGCCTTTAGCCATTCCAATAGGCAATAACATATGTGACTCAGCCCTTGTTGAGTTCCCAAATTACATCAACCTTTTGATGAAACTCTTGCAATTATTACATGCTGGAACTGGCTTCCAGCACTCTGGTTGTTTTACTTTATTTACCTGTGCTCTGGAGGTTACTGTATCTGTGTGGTAGAAGCACTGGTGTGCAGCTCGTCACAGCACCGTGCTCAGTTGTGTCCTGGAATCTGTCTCGTGGGGTGGGCACTTAGAGCACAGGATTGGCAAGCACTACACATCAGGAAGCTTCTTTTTCTCAGAGGGCCTGTTTCTCCTCTCAACCACCAGGCTCGGTGCTCCGTGTTTCAGCAATCCCTGGAGGATCCTGGTGCCTGTTCAAGGTGGAGACCTGCCCGAGTGCTTCAGTTGGGTGCTTCACACTGACTCCTTACACGTCTTTTCGTCACAGTCTTTACAGCTGTCAGCCTGCCCATTCCGACGCCCTGCCCTTTCCGGGCACCTTTCAGCCTTGCTACCAGATTCCAGGGTTAGAGCGTGGGTGGGCCTCCTCTTGCCTCTCCTCTGTTAGTGACTGACCTCTGTGAGGTCTTTCTCCTTTCCATTCATGCTCAGGTGTGTCCACTCAGACTGCATGTGGCTTTGACAACACTTCTAGTTCTCTTCATGGCAAACCCATTTCAACCCCATCCCTGAAACGTAACTGGGTTCAAATCCTGGCTCAGCTACTTACTGGCCCCAGTAATGTACACACACAGGCATTCCAGGCACTTGGCACCAGGTGTGCTGGGTCCCTGTGTGTCACAGCCAACTGCCCTTACACAGTGAATGGTCACCCTGGCCAGGAGGGCAGCTAGAGTTGCACAGATCTGCTGCTCCTTTACCCGCGTTACCCACTTCAGTGCGCCAACCTTTCTCTCCCTGACCCTCTTCAACCAGGAAGGAACATTGGAACAGGGAGCACTCCACTTGAGGGGAACCTGCCCTACCACCACCCCATCACCATGGGAGTAACAGCTCTGGATAGTGCTGACGGTGCCCATCCCACTGGGAACCGTGCAGGGCCTCTGCAGAGCCTGACACCTGCTTGGAGGAGCCCGCACCCCGCCTGGCACCCAGCCTACCAGCAGCCCTCCCTTTCTCCCTCCGTGCCCCCCCCCAAACCCCTGCAGACCTTTCCCAGTCCTCTCATGCCGCTGTGTCTGTGTTTGTCTCTCTCCTTCAGGGACACATTTCTCTGCAAGGGACGCAGGTGGCCCAGCGTCTTCCTGGCCCTGAGGACGTGGGGAAGCACCTCTTTGAGATCAGCCCAGGTAGGTGGGCCCCGGGGGCCTCATGGGGGTGTTGCCATGCCTGAGCTTGGGAAGGCAGAGCTCCTTCATGAAACTCCAGCACCATCTCTTTTCACGACTCAGAAATTTGGTCAAACTAGAGGATGTGGTGAATTTGGGGGAAATCAGAAAATCCGATCAATCATGGGGTGATTAGCTTTTGATGGGTTTTTAAATTCACAGTAAACACAGGGAAGAAACCGATCCCTGGGGCGTCCTAGAGTGAAGGTCCAAACCCCCAGTGCAGGTGACCTGCACAGGGGCCGCTGCAGCAGTCAAGGCGTTTCCAAAGGGAACTGCGATTCAGCTGTTACGGAATTCACAGGCGACCGGAAACACACAGGAGCGCTCGGAGACACAGGGAGAACCCTTTATTTCCAGATGCACCAGCACCGTGACTCAGGGGAGCCTGGTTCCAAATCCTGAGCAAGCCAATAAGGAGAGGGCTTTCTTTATACCCTTTGGTTTCTTTGTCCTCAAATATGGATGGGACTTCCGGACCTTTTTCAGGCTTTGCAAAAAGCCCCGTGTGTTGAGATGGGGGCCGTGAGACCACACCTAAAGGCCTGCCCTGGCGCCAGTGCTAATAACTTCCTCTGGGGTTGTATATGGTTCATGGTTTACGGCCTCTGTAAATGGGAGTATTTAGATAAACCAGTCTTGCAAGACCAGATAATTAAGGAAGGGCAGTGACTGGACTACAGGCTAACTAACAGGAATGTGCATTCGGGACACTGATTAACTCGGTACAGAGCAGGCTGCTATCGCCTACATTCTTTCACAGGTGGAGGTAATTATCGGCTACAAGAGTGTGCGATGGAAGGCAGGTTAGTGGCGCAGATTCAGATTGCTAGCCCCCCGAAAATGTCTTGTGCTCCCCGTCACTGTGAAGGAATGACTAACCAGAGAATTGCTATCGCAGTAGAGTCACAAAACCACTCTTTGAAGCTCCCTGTTTTGAAATGTTACTGTTACTGAGCCCGTGGGTGCCTGAGCCGATCTGCTCAGAGGGACGGGCAGTGCAGGCAGCGTGTGGCGTCCCGCCCGACACCCCTCTGGCCTGGGAGCAGAGCCGGAGCCGCGCCTGAGCCCTGTATAGGAGGCACTGAAGCCGGACAGCCAGAGGTCCGGACTACCGTCATACTCGAGCCAATTCAGCATGGCGTGAGCCTTCCCAGGCTCAGGTGGCCAGAGTGTTAACATCAATCCTGCCGGCAGCACGGGAAAGAGCAGGCCATCCACAAACATCTGCTCTCCGTCCCTCTATAAGCCAGCGCTCACGTGGGGTCCAGGACAGAGATCACGAGGAAAGTAGGAAAAGGATCAGGACGGGCATGAAAAATGGGTGTGATGGTTACAGTTTACAGGCAATGCGGCTGGGGGTTGGCCAGGGGCTGGGGGTTTGCCAAGGGCTGGACCTCTGGTTTCTGCCACAAGGTTGCTCGTCTTTCCAAGACAATAGGCAGCTCCCGATGGGGAGGATGGGCTGCGTTTCCAGGTGGGCTCCCAGGTCCCACGTGCAACTCCCAGCAGGTTAGATATGCCTTCTCTAATCAGAGCAAAACAGTCCCGGTTAACAGCATGGTCAACATTTCTTACAATTACAGCTGGTCCCACATTCTATCTGCCCCTAACACACCGCCCGCAGGGCGTGGAGAAGGGAGCAGTCAGGGTTGCTGCGAGCCGGCTGCTGCTGGGCACCGGGACTCAGTTCCCGCAGCTCTGACGTGGGGAGCAGGTCTCAGAGATGTCTCCCCGCCCAGGGAGCGAGGAGGCAGGGTATACAGCCATGCCGCGAGCTGCTCCCTGGGGACTGATGCTGGCCCAGCTGGCCTGCTCCGCAGGGACTGGCTCCCTGGGGACAGAGAAGGCCTGCGGGGAGGGCAGCAGGCTTGAGGGCGGGATGGGAACGTGTGCCTGAGGTCTGGAGTCCCAGTGTGTCCGCGGGAGACGTTCCTCTGGGAAGCAGTGGCTGTGACCTGACTGTGCCAGGCCGCCCTGGGTCTCAGAGCAGCCTGGGCGCCCAGCCATCGGACACGGTGGCCAGCATGGCGTGGGCCTTCCCAGGCTCAGGGGGCCCAGCGTCTTCCTGAGGCTCAGGCCAGCCAGCACAAGCCACCGCTGGGAGCCGGGAGCGAATGCACGCCTTCGCCTCTGCTCTGTCCATCCTGGGGCCCCGGAGGCACCAGCTGGGGCTGAAGGGCAGGGAGAGCCTCCGGCTGGAGGCCCTGCATGGAGGCCCAGCAGCCAGTTCCACAGGCATCTCTCCCAGTGCCAGGGCCAGAGAAGGGGGCAGCAGAGCGATCCCAGACCGGGGGAGGGAGGGCGGAGGGTACTGAGGCTCGGCTGACTGTAGACCATGAGTGAAGAGAAAACAGAGAAGAGAGGAGAGAAGGCAGAGAAGAAAGGAGGGCAGTGAGGTGGGCAGGGCCCTGCTGTGAGGCTCGCCTAAGGAGGATGGATGCACGAGGCCGATGTGGGGAGGGATGATGAATTGGTCAGATCATCTGGATACCAGCTGGGCTGAGCCCCAAAAGGCACCAGCCCACAAAGGCAGGGAGTCAGAGGTTTTTAAAGGGCTAGGCGGCTTTTTCTGGGCAGAGCACTCTCTGTGAGGGTCTGGATTTGGGGAAGTCCGGAGGGGAGAAGGAATGTGGTCTGTGTGCCTGTAGGTCTGCCCAGGGGAGGGGATCAATTCAATTATTTGATCAAAGTTGACACCTGCCATCTCAGGGCGGGGAGCTGGGCACAGGGAAGGAGGGGCTGGGCGAGGGCCCTGAGACCGGAGAAGGATAAGGTGGAAGTCAGCACCCCCGGCCATAGAGTCAGAAAGGCACTGAGCACCTGCCCAGGACCAGACACGGACAGTCACCGCGGTGCCCGCTTTTCGCTGGGTCAGAGCTATTTGCACGGATTTCCAACATGCAGGGGACAGGGAGGGGGCGGGGGGGGGCGCCATAAGGTAACGGTCCCAGGTCCCGGGAATTAGGAGGGGCCTCTCTGTGGGCCTTTACCTTGCCTCCCACAGTACACCCTTCCAAGGCTGCGGCACTTCACGAAGAAGGGCGCTGGAGGTGGGAAAGGCCCAGAGCCAGGCAGTGGTAGGTTCAGGGCTTGTACCCAGGCCGCCTGGCTTCTAAAGCTGCCCTCCAACTCAGGCCCCTGGCACGGGCGTTAGCGTCCTAACCACCTGCCCGGGAGGCCAGGATGCGGCTGTAGGACGGAGAGCAGCCCTTTGTACGCAGCACAGCAGTTCGGCACCAGGCTCCAGGGCTGCGTCTCCACCCTCTTCCCCTCTGCACAGGCCTGTGTGAATGTGCATAAATCAGCCAGGCGAATGCTAGGTCAGAGTCCTGTTTGTGCTCTTCAGCAGTATAAAAATACTCCACTTTTTCATCAGAATAAAAATGTGAGGGGAAGTTAGGCTGTGAGTGCCATCTAGTGGAGAGATCTGCCATCTCCAGGCCAGGCCTGTCTCCTGACTCCCGATTCCCGCCAAGCCTCACCTCTGCCTGGCCAGGCGCCCACACCATCTCTCTGCGGTGGCTCTGGGCGGCCCGGTGTGGCTGGGGTTCCAGCCCCTGAGTCAGTTCCCACCTGGGCCTCTCCTCCGGCGGGCAGTCAGCTGCCTGCGGAGCTTTTGCGATTTACAGAGGAAATGTGCCTTGTATTAGGTCCTCTGGTTCCTGACGTGGAGCTCCCAAAAGCCTCACATCCCCACCTGAGCAGAATGAGCAGGTGTCCTCCGTCTTGTTAATGAGAGGACCCTGGAAGCACCTGAGGATGGGCTGGTTGCCAGGAGAGCCAGCCTGTGGTGAAAGCTGGGAACCCTGTCCCCTGCCTAACAGAGCCCGTGAACAGCCAGCAGAGGAGCTTGTGGGGGCACCCGGGTTGGGTCGTGGAGACTGGGGAGAGCAGCAGGCTCAGGATCAGGCGGGTCTGTGGCCCCTCCCCCACCCCTTACCCTACACACACCCCATCGGGCTGCTCCTGAGGTAGGTCCTTCATAATAACCCCCGATCCTGAGAGTGACGTGTTCCCTCAAGCCCTGAGCCACTCCAGCAAATGCACCAATCCCAGGGGGGCCTTGGAGGCTTCGGTCCAGAGCAAGTTGGTCAGAAGCACAGGTGACAACCTGGACTTGTGATTGGCATTGGATGGGGGGACAGGACAGTCTTCGAGGACTGAACCCTTAACCTGGGGAATCTGACCCTATCTTCTTTAAATGTATCTTTATTAATTTACATGCATGTCTGCACAGCCAAGGACTCAGACAGGGAGTGGGGAAGGCCCGGGAGGGGCAGGTGCCAGGGTCGGAGGGAAAAAATAAGCAAACAAACCAAGGGGACATCTGTAATCCTTCCAACAGCGAAGGTGCATTTAAAGAAAGAATGTGAAAAAAATAAAGTACACAGTTTTTAATGTTTATCTTTATTATTGAAAGTATTACAGATGTCCCCTCTCCCTCCATTAACCTCCTCCTCCCGCTCCCACCCCCTCCCAGGCCTTTACTTCTATTGTCTGTCCGTGGACCACGCACACATGCAAGTCAGCTGTTTGGTTAATCTTTCCCGCTTGTCCTCCCTCTCCCCCCGCCAACCGCCCCCTTCCCTCTGAGATTCCAGTCTGTTTCATGTTTCTGTGTCTCTGGTTCTATTTTGTTCATTAGATTCCACATATGAGTGAGGTCATGTGATACTTGTCTTCCTCACATTGACTTATTTCTCTCGGGGTAGTGCTCTCCAGGTCCCTCCATGCTGTCCCACAGGGTAAGAGATCCTTCTTCTTTATTGCTGCAGCATATCCCATGATGTAGATGTGCCACAGCTTTTTGTCCACTCAGCTGCTGATGGGCACTTGGGCTGTTTACAGATCTTAGCCATTGTAAGCTGTGCTGCTGTGACATGGAGGCTGCACACATTCTTTCTGATTGGTGTTTCAGGCTTCGTAGGATTTATTCCTAGCAGTGTGGTCACTGGGTC